TAGGGGGTGATGTACCCAAATATGCATGCAATGAAAGGAGAGCGAATTTGGGCAGAAGGCGACAAGAGAGACACGTGGACAGTGGGCCCTTGCTGACTTAGCAAAATTAATTGGGAATTTGTACTGTTTTTTTTCTTTTCTTCGTTCCTCCCCACCCAGTAGTGTAGTAAAAAGTTAATCTTGATTGTCCGATATTTTTTTCTGTGATATTCCCTTTGATTTTTATTTTTTTCTTTTTTTGTTTTCGAGGGCTTTTTCTGTGCGATGAGAAAAGGACAATGGGGAGAAAAGAATATAATTTATTGAAAGGAAAAAAGGCGTCGCCTTTACACGGTGGAGAGGCGGTGTTTCTCTCGCACTACTGTTCTTCCGCCGGAAGTAAATGAGAGGACTAAATTATAAATGGTTTAATTACAAAACCCCCCTCATATTTTGATAAACTACATCCGTACCCCTATAGTTTGTAAGTTTCTTACTTACACCCAAGCTTCCTATATAAGGGAGTTAATGTGTAATTATAGAACAATGAGGGATTGTTTCATAAATAGACCTTATTTCGGGAATGGTTGTAATTTACTCAAATAAATAAAATAAATAAATAAAATTAAAAATAAAAAAAGGAAAAAAGTAAATGAGAGTATCAGATTAAGATACTATTTACAAAATTATTAGCAAAGGTAACAACTATTAATCTTATTGAATAATAGTATCATGACGATTTGACTTTTATTTTAAATTTGAGTTAGTCAAAATTTTGTCAATAATCCCGTAATAATTAAATAAAACCTTAAATTGCATTTAATTAAGGGTAAATTACATCCATTTCACTGATGTATATTCAAATTACGAAAAACTCCCTCATATTTGAATAATTAAAATTACTCCCATCAACTATGTATTGTGTAAGAAAGTCCCTTACTAAATTGTCTAAACTTTGTACATCATGAGATCCTATCTTTAATTAATCTGTTATATTTGATGTGACTAATGTTTCTGTCTCTGAGATCATGATTCACCTTTTGACATATGTTATTTCTTAATATCCCACACCATAACACCTAATAAAGCCACTTTTGGTGTACAAACTACAAACTCAAAGTAAATTTTATATTTGTACAACTTATATGTAAAATAAAATAATATATATAAATATACTTTTTTTTTTTAAATAGTATTTATGACTGATACCAACCAAAAGTATCTTATTTTAGTAAATTTATTCGTTTCAGAGACCCCGTACATATAATATATTAAAGTGGTATATCCAGCATGCAACATCACATGGCATTGTCTAGAAAGAAAATTAATTTATTTTGTGAAGATTCTTTATCTATTTAATTAATGAAGGGAAAAAAATAACAACGAGGTAAAGCATCTAGGAATAGAAGCATCGAGGGGAATTTTGTTTTCCAATTAGAAATAAGGGTAAATTACGGCATGTGAGGGAAGATCAAATTACGAAAACCCTCGTTATATTTGAATAATTACGACTATTCATCAATTCTGAATCTTCTTACATATCCATCTTTATGATTTTAGATTCAATATAATCTTTTAGATTATGTGAAATATTTCTAGTTTGTACTCATTTTGTACAAAAAAACAGTTTCTAATGCACCACAATATGATATTTACAATCCAATAGACGCATCTTATAATCATCTTGTTTAAAAATGTGGAGCTCGAAAAAAGTAAAACGAGTACAAATTGGAGTATATTCCACTAAATTTGACCCCGCAATGATGGATGTGTAAGAAGATTAATAATTGAGGGAAGTTTATATATAATTACCCAAACATCAAGGATTTTTTTCGTAATTTGACCTTATCTAAGGGGTGACCGTAATTTACCATAGAAATAAAGGTTAATATGCATTTATAAACATAATAATAAAACAAGAAATGAGATTTTGCAAACTCATCTCAAAGTTTAATTTTGTTATCATATGAATCACAAACTTAGTCTCACAAAATCTTATTTCATGAGCTCAACTTGTACAACTGCATCATTTTTCATTTTCCTAATGTTTTCGGACAAGAACGGTCGCTGAATAAATACATTTGTTCCACGAAAATCGAACTACACGACCGCCTAAAACACTTCATGGATTCTTAGAACAATCCACCGGATAAAAAATGAGCCGCTTATTTTTCGTATCATGGATCATTCTATGATTTGTTTGCTGATATGATCCAATAACAGACACCTTACTATCCCGAATCATTGCCAAACAAAAATATTCACGAAGCCTGATCGGAATCGATCGACCCACAACCTCGAAAACCGCCTCAGCCTTCATAACAAAGTCGGCTTCCATTCCCCATAAATGAAAAGTAACATCGGGGAGATTTTTATACTTCTCGGGCTTGCTCCTCTCGTAGCACAACTCCAGTCCCGATTCGCCTTTGATTTTCTTCAAGCCCTTAAACTTGGAAAAATACTTCTCCAGTGCGAGTTTCAATACGTCGAATGCAGGCGAAACGATTCTCGAATACGGTGTGACCGTGTCGATCATGCAACCGAATCTAGTGTTGTTCTTGAACGCAAACACTTTCGGGTTGATAGTAAGCCTAGTTTTATTGACGCTAATGCCTTGGAGATCCACATAGTAGGAGCTGTCTTTATTCGTATTGTACAACGGTGTGCTTTTGTAGGTTTTTAGGTGTGATGCATAATCTCCAAATCTAAGATAAGTACTAGGCGTTTTCCCTGAAACAACAACAGGAAGACAGTACGAGAATATACCTTCCGTTTGAGGACCGAGCTGTTTCAAGAACGATGAGTTGTCATCCCATCCGAGCCCAATTAATCCAGCAATTTTATTGTTTTTGTACCCCTTATACATCAGCATATCATTGCTCAAACCGCACCCGAATTCCACGTTTTCGAATTTCGCCATTCCTCCGGTTTTTAACGTGAAATAAAACGTCTCTCGAGCCAAAATGCCGTGTGTGTTGGATCCATCTCGGTACTCACGCCTATAGGGTGTGGGCTTATTCTTGACGAGCAGAGGGCGGAAAGATGAGGAGTTTGACTTGGGATATGGCTTCGGTGTTTGGTCAAAGCATTTTGTGCAGCCTTCGCACTGCATCCACACTAGGCTGCTGCACGTGTCCATTTCCAAATAGTACTCTTTGTACGGTGGTTTGGATTTGAATGTCCCGATCCCGACTTTGACTGTGTAATGATATAGTTGCGCCTTAGCCTGCATGATTGAATAAGACGATGTTTTAGTCAGATAGTTACTGCGCAGATTGGATTGGGATACCAAAGTTTTGATTCTCTCTTCGGAAGAGATATTTTTCCGGAAAAAAGGCGATTCGGGCGAGTTTGGATGGATCAATGTTATAGTCAAACCATTGGAGTTCACAAGTTCGACTTTGTTTAGCACAGTGATTAAGGTTGGAAGAAAACAGAGTAACAACAATTTCTGTGTTTTTGCCATTGTTTATTTGCATGATGTTTCTGTCAGGGCTGAAGCTATTTTATAGTACAGGCTGACATAATACTTCTCTTGGTCTTTTCTAACGATGATTAATAATTAAGAATAACGGGATAATTGATTTTACAATATCTTGATTTTAATTTGATTTGATCCATTTGATCCATAGTGCCAACTTCTGTACCATCTACATTTATTGTGTCGATAGATTTGTCATAAATGGGCAATCAACTTTACAGATGGTTCATTTCTTCGTTTATTACTTCTTTCATCATTGATTACACATTTACAAAGTGTTCTTTTACCATACTTTTTACTACATTCACTGGCTAACCAACTTCAGTATTACATTAACCTAAGGACTGAAACCTCTAATTCGAAACTAATTGATTCCTATAGAACAATAATTTTTGTATGCAAATGCTAACGTGTTGAACTCAGACGACATCTCACGAAAAAGAAGGGTTAGAAATCCGATTAAAACATAGAACGAACCTGAAAGAAGCTTGTAATAGCACCCAATGAAACTTCAGCTTATTTGCTCCGTAGAACGAGAGAGGGCCGCTAACGACAACGAGAGGTCATCACAGTGATCATGCTGCAATCACAAATAACATAATATGTTAACTATCGTGAACTTCTTTATAACATTTTGAAGAGAAACTGCAGATAACCGTAATCAAAAAGAAAATGTCATAACTACGGCTAAAAGTAAATAAGTTCTTTTCACAATTTAGAACCGCAATATTTAGGCACCGTGCACAACATTAACGAGCAGGAGCGAAAAACACGTGAAAAAAAATTGTTCAGGGGAACAAACAAAACATCAAACAGTTTAAGGGCAAAAGTTCTTCTTACTCTATATGCAAATTCTACCATGGTTCTGGTACAAAATTGATGCTTTACTTGAGAAATTGAATCTTAACACAATTACGAATTAGCCACAACCTTTTCCTGTAAAAATTCTTAAGCAGCTGTATTCCTTTCCCCAAACAGTGCATTATTTTGAAGTGAGAATACCTAAGAAAAACTTAACACAAGAAGAACATGAGTAAAACTTACACGATGAGGGCTGTAGAGATGTACATTGCCCAGCCCGGCCCGACAATGGAAAGGGAGGATACTGCGCGTGCGCATTGATGCTCTGAAGTTTCCATCTTCAATTACTTCATCTATATATCTGTATCTATCTATCTATCCATTTTCTAATTTACAATTTCTAAGGGTTGATTTGGATTTACAGTAATCGTAGAACCGATTCTTCATCGGAGATTGGATTCAGGTTTGCAAAAGAAAAGGGGATTTTTTTTGTGGGAATTGATTACGAATGTTGTCCGCATTGTTAAAGACGTTAATGCCCTCAAAATTCATTTCCAATTTCCACAGTTAATAGAAACTGCAGTACAATTTAGGGAGGGTATTTATGTCATTTTCCACATACCCAATTGTCTCTCCCCCGCTCCAAAAACCCCCAAATTTATAATCATTTTCCCTCAGTTCTCCCACACTCACACTTCTCGTCACCGCTCCGAAGCAAATTAGGGTTTCGCCGCAAATCTCAGTGGCCGACGATGGCCGAAGCTTTGAACGACGCAGCCGTGGAAAACCTCGACAGTATCGGGGACCAAGACACTAATGCCAACCCTAGCGACGACAGCAATAAACCCTCCACCACCGCCCCCGCAGATGCAGTCCCCGACTCCACTTCATCGCCGCCGCCTTCTCCTCCTCCTCCGCCGCGGCGCGGCATCCGAGACCGTGATAGAAACTCCCGCGAGCGGCGCGATGACCGGGACTTTGACCGACCCCCTCGGCGTGAGTACTACAATCGCAACCGCTCTCCGCCACCTCCACTTCCGCCGCGTGAAAGGGACTATCAGAAGCGGGGAAGGCCGAGCCCGAGCCCTCCTCCACCGCCGTACAGAGACCGACGAGGTGGAGGCCAGCATTCTCCTCCGGGGAGACGGTCGCCCCCATTTCCACCTTATAAGAGGAGGAGGGACGATGGGTTTGACGGAAGGAGAGGGAGTCCTAGAGGTGGATATGGAGGACGAGGGGACCGAAGGTGAGCTTCAAATTTGATTTAGTTTCATGAACAGCAGCTCATTCATGTTAATTTACTGATTTAGTTATAGTTCAACTTACAGTAGGTTTTAAGGTTTGTTAGAAAGCAGATTTTCTAAGTATTTGGATCAACTCGATACTGTGTTTCTGTTCTAGGTTTCAACTCATTACATATGATAGTGTTGTGTCCGTGATTCATACATTTTGTATTCTAGCTGTATATGTTAATTTACACATGCATTTTATATAGCTCTATGTGTTTATTTATACATGCATGTATCTATATCTTAGCAGTTCTGGTGTATATAACAGCTTTGGTTATACCTTATACATGCACACAATTTGAAGAAGCACACCAATTTGTTCACATAAATATTTATTCATTGACATTTAATTTCAAATGTGGTATTTTAGTGAACAAACTTCTAGAAGAGTGTCTCTAAATATCAAGGCCCAGATTCAAAACATGATTGTTTTCACATATTACAACTTAACTAACACTACTATATTGAGATAAATAGATAGTATGCCTCTTCAACTGTACATATCATTGGGGGATGGGAATAATATGTGCATGTTATGCTAATAGTCACATCATCTGCTAAACGTGGAAATGTACCTATTCTTCAATTCCGAAGAAATGGCGTTAATTACTTTATTAAGCAGCACATGGTCCCTGATTGCGAACTTCTGATTTTCAATTGGTCAATTACTGATAGTAATTTATTGGTTCAGGTTTGGTTATGATCATCCAGGAGGATATGAACGTGACATGGGTGGTAGACCTGGTTATCCTGATGAAAGGCCTCATGGGAGATTTATGGGCCGACCATCTGGTGGCTATCAAGGTGGTCCATCTGGTAATCTTTATGTCCTTGCTTTATGCGCATTTCTCTTAGCCAGTAGCTCTGAAGCTGCCTACTTTATGCACATTTTGAAATATTAATCTTAGATGGTAGGAAAATGAGGGGTTATTGTATAATATGATGGAAACTTAAAAGGAGTTGGGATTAATTTCTCAGATGGTCACCGACGTCTTACAAAACTCTCTTTGGAGCTTGTTAGTGACAATGATGATCAATTTTTTTTGAAGTATGGTTATTCCTTTTGTAGTTAAATCCATTCTTGTTCAAAGAGTGTTAATGGTGCATGAGGATGTAATTGCAGTGTGTGCCTTATCATTCAAAGTCTTGTCTTCTCAGCCTGTTTAATGAAATGTACCAAGATTTCATAGATAGTTCGGTAGACTGGTGATACAAAGCTCAGCATGGTTGCACCTTTGAACATTGTGTGATTGCTGCAACCCAGTCCTAAAAAAAAATTTAATGCAAATTTCAACATTGGTTTTTGGAAAAAGAAAAAGGCCCCATTAGCTTTTCCTCAATTCTTTGAACCGTAATTCAATCTAACTCATTTTTCTTAAATTTCTTCACAAGATCCCCAAAATCTCAAACCCTACTCACTGGAATCGTGATTTCTACTAAGTTATAGCAATTCTTTCGCAATCTAGGCGCTGTTTTATTGCGATTAAACTCTTTTCAGTGCAATTTGGAGTGAGTATTGTGTGATTTGGTGTGGGTATTTGTGATTGCAGTTGCTTCTTGGATGATTTTTTGTCATGATACGGTAGTTTTAGTTTTTTATAGCGGCTTATTTATACTATGTTCTTGTTATATTTCTCTCTACAGATTGGGATTCTGGTCGTGGTGGTTTTGCTGATGCTTTCAATGCTGGGGCCCAAAGGTATGCATCACTGTCAGCCTTCATTTTTTTCTTGTTTTCTTTAAGTTATGCTATATTCTGTTGTTGTCGTTTCCTGATGTTGTGTAGACACACAGACACACGGATATCAATTCCATGTTTAGCACTTCCTTATATTTCATTGCTAAATTATACCTTAAGCTAGATTTATTGATGTGTATATCGATTTTTTTCAGGGCGGGGTTGATGTCGTATAAGCAGTTTATGCAGGAACTTGAAGATGATATTTTACCAGCTGAAGCAGAGCGCAGGTCAGATTGGGAATGGCAGAATGTTTTAGAGTTATAAATATAATTGTTTAATATAACTTGGTTGGCTCCTTTTTCTTTTACTGCTCATCTTGCTCCTTATGTTGCTATTGTTTTTCTCTCTACTGATTAACTAATTTGCTGAGCATGATCAGATATCAAGAATACAAAACAGAGTACATATCAACCCAAAAAAGAACTTATTTCGATGCGCATAAGGATGAACAATGGTATGCTTCATCTTTTATTTGTTGTTTACTAAGTTTATTGCTTTTTTTGTTCCTTATTTGGTTTACTTTGTCTATTCAGGTTAAAAGACAAGTATCACCCAACAAACTTACTTGCTGTCATAGATCGGTGAGAATATTGCTTAAGGTTATTTAGTACCCGACCATGTGAACTGTTTGCGAAATGTCTACTTTGTAGATACTTTATACTCCTGGTTCCATTTGATATTTATTGAACTCTATTGTCAATGGGCTTTGCAGGAGGAAGGAACTGGCAAAGAAGTTGGCAAAGGATTTTCAGCATGATCTTCTAAGTGGGAATTTGAATTTGTAAGCTCCACTCCTAATTTTTTTACTTTTAAACATACGTATGGTAACAATTTTCATATGAATATTAATATAAATTGAAATGACTTCTGTGTATGCTTCAGAGGTCCTGGGGTTACTCCTTCCTCTTTGAACAAAGAAGAGCAAACCAGCGGCCCTCATTTGGAGGATGAAGGAGATGCGGGTGGCAAAAGAAAACGGAATGTTAGGGGTGGCACCGAAGAGTCTGATCTTTCCTCTGCCCCAAAGGCTCACCCTGTCTCTTCTGAGCCCAGAAGAATCCAGGTTGATGTTGAACAAGCACAAGCTCTTGTTCGGAAACTGGACTTAGAAAAAGGAATTGAGGATAATGTTTTAAGCCGTGCTGATAATGATAGAATGAGCAGAGACAAGTCTCATGGAAGTTCAAGTGGTCCAATTGTTATAATACGGGGCTCAACTGCTGTAAAAGGTCTTGAGGGGATTGAGCTTCTGGACACCCTTCTTACTTACCTCTGGCGCATTCACGGGGTTGATTATTATGGGTTAGTTGAATCGAGTGAAGCTAAAGGTTTCCGGCATGTTAGAGTGGATGGCAAGAATTCCGACTCAACTGCTAATGCAAATGAGTGGGAAAACAAATTAGACTCTCATTGGCAAGAGAGGCTGAAAGGCTCAGATCCCCTGGAGGTAATGTCTGCAAAGGAGAAGATAGACGCTGTTGCTGCTGAAGCTTTGGACCCACATGTCCGCAAAATTAGAGATGAAAAATATGGTTGGAAATTTGGATGTGGAGCAAAAGGCTGTACGAAACTCTTTCATGCTTCTGAGTTTGTCCTCAAACATTTAAAGTTGAAACACCCCGAGCTTGTGATGGAACTGACATCAAAATTGCGTGAAGAATTGTATATTGAGAACTACATGAAGTAAGTGCAGATATTTGAATAATCGTTTGATATGCCTATATTTTATCGTTTTCAGCAAGGTTCTTACATAGCATTTGTTACAGTGATAAAAATGCACCTGGAGGGACGCCTGTCATGCAGCCATCTTTTCAGGTATAGTTTATATGTGTTTGTATCTAGATTATGTTCCCCAATACTACTTCCGTGGTTTATTGTTATGTTGTCGTTTTGTAGAAGGATAAGCAACTGAGACGTAGGCCTGGCCTGGATAATAGAATGAAAGATGACAGAGGAAACCAGAGAGAACGAGACAACCGTGCCAATGGCAATGATAGATTTAATAGACCTGAAAACCCTCAATCTGATGATTTCCAATCGGGTAATGATGGTGGTGCTCCCGGAGACAATCCAGATGAACAAATGTTTGATTCTTTTGCAGCACAACACATGTCTCTTGGTCCTTTTTCTGGAGATATTCCTCCTCCTGTGCTGATGCCTGTTCCTGGAGCTGGGTAAGTTCACTTGCCCTCTCCCCATTTTCCCATTTTCCCTCTTGTAATATAGTATCATAAATTGTTAGTACGAATTTGAGTTTCAATGTCTTTATTTAGTAGTTTATGAATTTATATATGTTGTCATTGCTTGCAGTCCACTAGGGCCTTTTGTACCTGCTCCTCCTGAAGTTGCTATGCAAATGATGCGAGACCAAGGAGGACCTTCCCCGTTTGACGGTGGCAGAAATGGAAGATCAGGGCCCCAGCTAGGTGGACCTGCTCCAATTATTGCGTTACCCTCTAATTTTCGACAGGATCCTAGACGCTTGAGAAGGTCAGTTCTCTATTTACTTCAGCTAACTCTTTTCCGGTTGGGTTGCTGAAAATATCAATGATGGCATGTGTGCAAATTCAGCCACTCTTCAGCTTTCAACTTAATTTTAAGCAGGCTGGGAAACAATCATCTTCTTTTATATACTTGATTTTGCTTCGTCATCTTTGGAAATAAGAAAGCTAAGCTAGACCCCATCACCACCATCTGCATGAAAATGCTTAGCTAATCTGGATCGATGAAGAATTAGTTCATTGTTATTAAAAGAAATTCTACTGCAGTTGTGTTACTGACCATTGTTCCAAAAATCTGAACTGAATTTATATAATATTTTGCAGCTATAATGACCTGGATGCACCAGACGACTGCAGTGACTGTTATAGATTACCGGAGTTTATAAATCGCATGCGAACTCTTCTGTCTTTCACTTCTCACGAGGCATCATTCCCAGTTCTGTAAACATGCAATGAGTTTGGATTGAGAATTCCGTGCTCCAAAAACTGCACCAGGTAAGTGGAGGATCTGCTTGTGCATTTGGTATTCTGAGAAAATTTTCGAGAAAATTATTCCCCCCGATGGAGAGTTGTAGATTGGCATGTAAAGTGCCGTGTAATTTATTTGTAGACAATTAAGATTATTTTGCAACTTTTTTTTTTTGTTTTAAATTAGCCTAAATAATTATCTATGTTGTTGAATCTTGTAAGATGTGGGAAACCCATATAGATGGATATTTTTTGTTGTTTATAGACTTGGGAAGAAAAACATGTGCTGGTTGTTGATGCTCGAAAGCATGGTTTGTGCTCTGCTTGTTTATTTGACAAGATTTGAAAATCGATTCAAGCACCACTTCGTAATCGTTCCAATCATATTATATACTTTAGTACGAAAATCAATAATTTCGGAGTCAATCTTGAAGCCTGAAACAAATAGTTTTGGTACTCCATTACTATTTAGTGGTATAATTTCACCCTTTCTGGGTGAGTAACCATGAATGAAAACACCGGTTCGGCGGTTTCGGTAGCTCAGGTTGGACAGGCGAGTATACCCATCGATTCCGGGCTTCAAATATCAAAAACAGGAACAACCCCTGCAATATCCGTTTCTGGGTCAAACCCGGCCTGTGGCTGTGTCTAGATACAAAGACCGTAACGAGCAATAGCATTCCCATTATCTTTAAAGATTTTGAATTATTTTCAGTTGGAAAGTCGTCAAATATGAAATTTTCGATACAATCTATATAAACAAGTATAATAGTAAAATTTGCAAAAAAAAAAATAAATCTAAAATCTCCATTATTGTTTTACCTGTTGTGGGGTTAGGTTTGGTAGAATAACGAACCTCTTATTCGCCAGGATCTGATTTAATTAGTCCGACCAATTAAAATCTCTCCAAATCTTTTTATTAAAACAAGGCATGTACGTACCACTCTAAGCACTGGCTGGCCACTGAGTCAACAAATGGAGAGTTAGTATAGCAGCAATAATTAAGTACAATTAAGCAGATAATTAAACCTAATCAGACAGCCCCTTAATCATGGTTTATGTAGGATCCTTTCATTCCCTACCACCATTTTATTATGCTTTGAAGCCGCCACAAAAGCTCAGAAGCTATCCAAAATTCGCACTTATGGAACTCAATGCAGCTCAATCACCACCAACAAAGTAAGCATTTTGAGAAGAATTTTACAATGCAACAATTTTGTGTAATTAATTTTGAGTTTTTTTTTTTTGGTAGGTACGCAGTTGTTACCGGAGCTAACAAGGGCATCGGCCTCGAGACCGTCCGGCAACTCGCGAACGCCGGCGCCACCGTTGTGTTGACGGCGAGAGATGAGAAGAGGGGAAATGAGGCCACTAAGTCGCTGCACGAATCAGGTCTGTCAAATGTGGTGTTTCATCAGCTCGATGTTCGAGATGCACAGAGCATACAATCCCTAGCAAATTTCATAGCAACACAGTTCCAAAGACTCGATATTTTGGTAAGTACAACTATCGTTTTCATAAACCAGACGCCGAATTTACGTTGGCATTTTGCTTACACCATTGATTATGGGGGAATTTTTTTCTTGAGAAAAAAAATAATTAGGGATTTGAAAAAAAAGAAACAATCATTCTCTGTATAGTGTTTCACTAATAGTGTAGTGGAAAAAGTTTTTTGCCTTTGATTCCGAAAGCAACATTCAGTTGTTAGATCGAATTCAATAGTTGCAAGTGTTTCAGTATATTAGTGTAGTGGAAATATTCTTGAGAAGTTTTTGTGTATTTGATTGCAAAAGCATTGGAGAACGAGTATAACTTTAAAGAAATCGTAAAATAGGAGTTCCTTTGTAAAAAAGAACTATCTATTCGTACTTGGTATTTCCTTTCTTTCATTTAACTTTTTTGGTGTTTTGTGTAGTTGTAGGTAACAATTTAAACATTGCACGTTCTACGTAGTAATACCTCTTGCACCACAACATTTAAATCTTGTATGGGTTTCAGACGAAGATGGTTAAAATTCGTCTAAATTTAGAGATTACTGCAAAAATGGATCAGACTAATCCAATTCTTCGTTAAATGACCAAGTAGTTTTGCTGATTTGGTAAAATTTCATGGCAGTGGTACGCAATGCATTCCCTTTAAATTGAGTGGTGATTTAATTCCGACAGGTAAATAATGCCGGAGCTTCTGGAGTAGTCGTTGATGAAGATCGTTTAAGGGCTTTAAACATCGACCCTGCAACATGGGTAAGATAATAGAGAAGCAAATCAACTTCATTTATTACATCCTCGATTTACGGAACCTATACGAATAAAGTAGATATCATTATCTCTTGTTTTCTCTTCCACAATGTACAGCTAGCAGGCAAGGCAGTAAACATGGTACAAGATGTTATTATAACAACCTATGACAAGGCTAAAGAATGCATAGACACCAATTACTACGGTGTCAAGAACGTAACCGAAGCTCTCCTTCCTTTGCTAAACAACTCCACTTTAGGAGCACGAATCGTGAATGTCTCTTCCCTAAGGAGTGAACTAAGTGTAAGAAGACAAGAAAGATCACTCCGTCTATGTTTTTGTATTCGTCTTTTCTAGTTGCGACTGAGTTTCTGCATGTGTCTAAATGCAGCGTATACCTAACGAGAAAACAAGAAAAGTACTCGGAGACATAGAAACTCTGACAGAGGAGAAAATCGACGGAATACTCCAGAAGTTTCTAGAAGATTTGCGAGATGATGCACTCGAAGTCAACGGGTGGCAAAAGATGCTACCGGCTTACAGCATATCGAAGGCGACACTCAATGCGTATACGAGGGTTATTGCAAAGAAGTACCCTCAAATGTGTGTGAATTGTGTTCATCCTGGATATGTCGACACAGATATTAACTGGCACACCGGTACATTGACTGTGACAGAGGGAGCTGAAGGGTCTGTCATGTTAGCCTTACTACCCAACGGAGGTCCTAGTGGATGCTATTTCGACCGTACAAATGTATCCGAGTTTTGAATTTTCTCGATTCCGATGAGATTTTCTTTTTCCTCCTTTGTGATCGGTAAGGGAGCTGAGTGTAATTTTGCATTCATTTTATTACAGTTCTGAATTATTAAGACAAGTATCTGTTGTGCAATTACTGATTATGTAAAGCATACCGGTGCTTTTGTAGAGAACTATTTTTAGAAAACCGATTCGAAGTGCACTGCGAATGAATTATTGTGTTTTGATGGTGTAAAATATAATTATTAATTTTTCAGGGGTGCAAAGTCCTAGAACATAACATTTCAAGGGTGCCAAGTGAAATTATAATTTTTTAATTTACAAAAAATAGATGATTCGATTAAATTCCAACAACCCACCGTCATGGGTCGAATTCCTTTTCCCTCTCTCATTGAATTTTCTCAACTTCTTTTTTTCTTTCTTTTCTTTTGTTTATATTTTCTCTAATTCCAAATTTCAATGATCAATACTTTTCGTTTCTTTATATTTTCTCCAATTCCAACTTTCAACTATAATACTTGTCAATACACGTGTATTAATGTCGTTTGATTACCCTTATAAGATTTTTCTGGTCAAACAATAGGAGCTAGTAACACGTTCAATTGACAAGATTCACACATTTTCAAATTCGATAGTAATCTAAAAGTTCGGTGCTGACTAAACAAGTAAAATACTATATGTTAATTTCATTAAATAAAATGTTTTATAGACAAATCACATATAATTCCAGAATTTAACAGATTTAATATAAGAACAAATCCGATGAATTGAACGTCTTAACAATAGAGAATTAATTCAATCTCAAATAATCCAAATTAATCCGATATAGATAACTCAACGAGCCCTGAATATACTCAATATATTTTAGTAGATGTAATATTAGAAGATTTGTGCGTAAATGGAGACTCAACGCACTAACTTTCGATCTGCCAACAATAAATGTAAGCATCCAATCAATTCACAGCTAATTCCCAAAACCTAATTTGCATCATACTTTTGTTCAAACTTGTGGGATTCGAATATAGTGGGCCACACTTGTCACATGGCCCAACATTTATTGTTGCACATCACTTCTACATTCAACGTCTTATTTGTAGTGATAAAAAATAAAAAAAAAATAAATAATAATATAAAGCAATTTATGAAAGTCATTCAATAGGTTTTCCCATTTGTGCATGAAGAAAATAATGATGATCCAACCACTAAAGATATCTCCTTAATTATTTGAGAAGTTGTAACATTTATTGTATTTCTTTTTTAAGCTCCGATGAATCTAAAGAAATATTTACATGGTAAAGAATTAGATACATAAGTAAAATAACTATTTATGAATTATTTCTAATTATTTCTTGTAATTTGCCTTTTTCACTAATTATCATATATTTAGGCCAAAGAAAGAAAAAAAGATGTTAATAATAGTTACATCTAATAAAAATGATGTGATAAATGTCGTTTCAATTTTAATAATATCATTTCAACTTCAAACGTGATTCTGATCACTTTCGAAGCAGAAAGTGGCAAAACTCAAAACATGGAAATCGCATATGTTTGAGTTAACTTTTATAATCCAACTTGAATTAGAAAGATTAGATGTTACATTAGAAAAGGTATGAATGAATCATCGAACATTGCCCACGACTTCGATTTCTTGAATTATCTAAAATTCAAAATGTAACTCAATCATGTATAACTTTATATTTCGACATCGAAATTGATCAAAACTAATATTAATAAAATTGAAACGATATTTATCACTACAGCTAACAAAAGTTGAATAAGGAATTAGTAACCGTTTAAAGAATGAAGTGGATGAAGTGAAAAGAAGATGAAAAAGGGAAGAAAAAGAATGATATCCGTGCAATAAATGTATGGAAAAGATTGGCTGTGTGAAAGAAGCAAAGACCGTCAAACATAGCGAATTAAGGACGGTTTGGTAGTAGGTGGCTTTATCTATAGACAAGACACAATTCATTGTTTGCCAGATTTTTTTTTTTTTTTTTTTTTTTTTGGCTCAAACGTTAGCTGTTTATTACATAATAATATATACATAATTTTCTTTTTAATTTTATTTGCCATCCATGAATATTCTTTTTTTTTTTCTCCCAAAATAATTTCAATTCTCCCCATAAATAAAAATTAAGATCCCAAATATAACACAATTATTATATATTAAGGTATATTGGACGACGCTCGTGAGGATACTTCATATTTGGGTAATTACAAATTTACAACCACCTTCCTCAACTATGAATCTTCTTACACGTTCTATTGTTGTGGTGTTAAATTCAGTGAATCTTCTAAATTATGTGGAATATTCTTCTTACACGTTCTACTGTTGTGGTGTTAAATTCAGTGAATCTTCTAAATTATGTGGAATATTCTTAAGTTTGTACCTGTTTATCCAATTCGATCTCTCAATTTAAAACAAGATGATCATAAGATATGTCTGTTAGCTTGTAAATATTACATTGTGGTGCATTATAAATTGTTTTTTTGGTACAAATCGAGCACAAAATAAAGTACACTATAAGAGTGGGCATGTAAGCAAATTCAGGTGCTTGTAATTACTCAAACAAAAAAAAAAAGATTTTTTCGTAATTTGATATTGTCGTAGGGGTGAGCGTAATTTACCCTTAAAAAAAACACATATATGTCATCAATTCGATTTTGATTTCATAATTGAAATTATAAAATGACATAGTGATATAAAACAGTAAAAACTGAGTAAAGCGAGGGTTAATTTGGGAATACGTAGAATTTATAACTAATACTTTAGAATTGAACAAACCGTTCACACCATACACAGTGAAGCTTTAAATACAACCCAATTTCCCCAATTACATACAGATACATACAACTCTGGGCCACCATAATCCCCAATCAGAGAAAACCTAATTACAAACCACAGCAGCAATGGGAGCAGAGGCCAGAACCACCACCGCCGTCGCAGTACTCATTGTCGCCGCCATCTTCGCGGCGGCGCTCCCTCGCATGAGCGCACAAGCACCGGGCTCAGCCCCGATGATTCCGATGATGCCGCCGTCTAAAATGCACCTTCTCCCGCCGGAGAATTAGAATGCATGACGTACCTGCTGCAGCTGTCCGATTGCTTGACATTCGTGGAGAGTGGGAGTAACCTGACCATACCTGACCGTGTTTGCTGCCCGGAACTGGCGAACCTGGTTGACTCAGAGCCGATTTGCTTGTGTCAGCTACTCGGTAACCCCGCTCAGACTGGCCTCCCCATTGATATTGATCGGGCACTTATGCTGCCCGCTGTATGTAATGTCACCACTCCTCCGGTTTCCATGTGTCCAGGTACCCTACTCTACTTTACTCTCTCTCTCTCTATTATTTTATTTTATTTATTTAAATATTATATATATTTAATTAATCAATAATTTTCCATATCATAATTTTGACTTAAAATGACTAATGTTTTTTCGATAATTAATTACTAGCAGCTGTATTTAATTAGTTTTTCACTTAAATGAGGTTACTAGATTCGATGGGAGCTATTTTTAATCTATTTTTCATCATAATACGATTTAATTTTTTTTTTTAATAATTAAGAAAATTTTAAACTAATTATTTATTGCATCTGAATGTAGAAAATGAATATATTTATATCTCAATTGTTCGATTATGGGTGTAAATGAGCCCGGCCAATTTTCTCTAACTCGAGTCGAATATATATATATATATATATATATAAAAAAGCTCTTGAATCGGCTCATGAGCTTATGAACAGCTAAAGACGGGCTCGAGCTTGTAAAATGCTCAAACTTTTGTCGAGCCTCATCAAGATAAGCCGGCTCAACTCATTTAGACCCTCAGTCCGATCATGCCAACACGGCTTATCATAAACAAGATGCACCGAATATAGTCAGCTATTTAAAAAGGAAATTCGTATTTGATCCTCTTTTCCATTGTCACAAAAATACAAATTTTAAAATGTTTTCAAATTTCAAAATTTTATTTTTTCTGTCCCCCCAACTCTTGTCTTATTCATTATTATTGCATTAAATTGCTACCCACCTAACCACATGGCTTGTATCATACCGACCTTTTCTAGGGTTCATTGGTAGATTGGATATTTTATTCATTTATTAATTGTTTAATCAAAATTTTCGATTTACCTAACTAATTAGTAATTAATTTTTATTGAATGCAGGTGCTGGTGTTCCAGTAGGATCTCCTCTTTCACCAAGTGAAGCTCCTTTATCAGATGGTACATATTAATCCCATCTTTCAACAACTGGGGAAAATAAATAAAAAAATTGTTAATCTAGTAAAAAACAAGAAGATTAACATCGTTAATTGTGCTTTAATCTCATCTTAATTAATTGTTTAATAATATTTACAGGTGGATCAGTAGCAGCAAGCCCAACTCCTGGGAATCCCTCCAGCTGGAGTCCAAGCAGTTTAGCCACTAAGCATCATTACCTCATTGGATTAGCAGCTGTTTTATCCACTTATCTTTTCTAATCAGTCTTAAGCATTTTCTTGAAATTCATTGTTATTAATATTCTTGATTTTACCATTTATATTTATATATATTTATGTATGCTGTAGCTACTACATGTTCTATTTTTAAATAACATTTTGATTTTATTAGATGTGTATTCATATTTGATTTAAACAATACTTCTTTCATCGGGAGACAAAACCTGAAGTGTTCATACTCGTTTATTAGATGCTACACTCAGTAAAATACACCACCTGGTATAGCAAATTCCATTCCCCCACACACACACACCAATGTTGGTGTGTGTGAATAAACGGTCCATCTTCCACTCGGTGTACTCGTCCACGAATGCAGCATAGATTTGACCGTTACGTTTACACTGAAATGGAGAGCAATTCATGCACGGTAATTGGACGACAAATGGAAGACAAGGGTCGTCCTGACCAAGCTGAATCGGCCAACAAAGAGTTGACCACAGGGGTCGGGTTAGATAGGTCCCACCACACGCGTCTTGTAGGGTCATCACACGCAATCTCCATCGAGGGGCAACCACTCTCCCCACCATACCTACCTTTTCCGCAACACGCGTTCTTTACATCCTCTATTTCTGCACGAGAACAAATCTCCGTATACAATACTAGATTTTCATGAGGGGGCCACGGCCCCTCACGGAACACAACGAATATTATGTAGTAAGAATAATGAGGATTAATATTGTACCATAGGCTTCGGGGTTGTGGATGAACTCCATTAAAGCTCGATAAACGTCGCAGAAGACTACGTGGGCCCCGGGCAATTCCACGTTAATGGCAACGATATTCTCCTCCAGCCTCGTATTATACTCCAAGACAGCCATATTAACCTCATCCAAACAACCCTCTATTTCTCCTCTTGCACCGTTGGAAGAACTATCGAACTTCATAAGTAGCATGTCAGGTGCGCACCCTAACGGTAGTACGCCAGCACAGACGATCTTTCTCACGTTGGTTGCGTAGAGATTTCTAACAGCGTTGGTCATTTGTTGGACTAATATGTGGCTGAAGTTTTGTGGGCTGTGTTTGAAGTTGATCGGTGAAGATCTGTCGTGGAAGTAGTCGATGAAGTCGTCTTTCCCTGAAGGAGAGGTAGAAAATGGAGGATTGG